TCAAGTAAAGATGAAGGCAATGATGGAACCTGCCAAGATCTACTGGACAATATCAGTTAAAGGTAGGAAGATTTTTCCTCTAGAACTCTCAGAGGCAACGGGCCCTACTGACTCCTGAATTAGGACTTCTGGTCTCTGAGATCAGACATGGCTATGGTTTTAAGCCACTGTATTTTGAACATTTGTTATGGCAGCCCAAGAAATGGACCAATGGCTTCTGGTCACCAGCCTGCCTGTCTTCCACTTCTGTGAAGTGCCTTTCAGCCCTGGCTTCCAGGAAACCCCTTGCCGTTGCAATCTCCCTTCTCTTTATGAAGTTTTCAGGTTGAGCTCCTGGCCGGCTTTCTGCTTCTCAACAGGCTTAAAGCTCTGCTCTTCTCTTTCTACTTTTTCTCAAGTTAACACTTGGAGAGAAATGGAGAGAAAGGTCATCCGTAGATTACGATTCCCAGGCAATGCTCCCCACTCAGGTCTATTGAGAGCTTCAAAACCAGAACTACATATACATCCAGTCTCTCTCATGCTCTCTTGACATAGCAGTTTAGCTATTTTGCTATAGAGTGCAACAAACATGTGAGCTTCTGGTGAACTTTTTTTTTTCCTTTCTTTTTGGGTCACACCTGGCGATGCACAGGGGTTGCTCCTGGCGGTGCTCAGGGGACCATATGGGATGCTGGGAATAGAACCAGGGTTGGCGTGCAAGGCAAAAATGCCCTACCTGCTGTGCTATCACTCCAGCCCCACTGGTGAAATTCTGAATTTCACTAAACACTCCTGCCTGTCACATCTAAGCCGCCTTTCTCTCTGGTTTCTCACACAGGAAGACATGGCATCTCCCAACACAACTGCTCTAGCAGAAACTGAAGGCAGGATGCTCTTCACATGCACATTCCAGTTCCTAAGCAAGTCTTGTCATATTAATGATTCAAGTATACCTTGGGCCCATTCACTTCTTTTTTTGTATCCACTGTCCCGATTCTCAATGTCTCACCTGGCCTCCTGAAATGGTTTCCCATAAATTCTGCACAGAGCGACTCAAGTGATTGTGCAACAGATGGTGCACGTGTGTCCTACTGAAAGCCCATTAACAGGATTCCCACCGAACTAAACACAACACCTATACTCTAATGTCTCTTGTGACCTTGCCCTATCTTCTGTCCCTCTCGCTCCCCCTAATATTTCCACAACGGACCTTCCTTAGGGGCTAAGAATTTCCTAAGCTCTTCCTACTGTGGATTGTCTCTGCCTTACTCTGTTAGAGTGCTCTCAAGTCACTTAGAGGCACTCTCTTTACCCCATCATTTTTTTCTGAGGGGAGGGTCCCTTCCCCCCCAGAGATGCTGGCAGCTAGTCAGAGGTGCAGTGGCAGAGATCAAATCTGGGGGCCGTGCGCATATCAGACACAGGCTCCAGCCCTTTGAGCTCTCCCTCAGCTCTTCCCCATCATCTTACACATATTTCCTTTCAGAGCTTCCTTCTTCTCAACATACCCTTTGCCACAATCTATAATTACACATCCGTTGCTGTGCTTATTTACATACATAAGTATTATGTGTATGTATATGTACATACATGTATACATGTGTGTACATACGTGTGTGTGTATGTGTGTATGCTGGCCACACCTGGCAATGCTCAGGACTTACTCCTGGCTCGGCATTCAGAAATCACTCCTGGTGGTGCTCAGGGGACCATATGGGATGCCAGGGATTGAACCTTGGGTTGGCTACATGTAAGGCAAACACCTTACCTGCTGTACTATAGCTCCAGCCTCAACTTCGTAAATATTTGTTGGATGAAGTCATTCTTCTTTTTCACACCTCAAACACGTTCCAGAGGAAGGTGCATCTGGAAAGAACATTTGCTCTCCCCCAAGAAAATACCTCTAACCTAATTTTATGAAAACCCGAAGACTTGGTTATACAAACATATAAATTATTTTATTTACAAAGCCATGTTACAAAAAAAAAAAAAGAAAAACAAAACAAAACAAAAATACAATCGCTTGCTGGAGAATGTCTCCAGGCCTGGTGATGAACCACGACAGTATCAACAGATACATGTTTGTTCTTTCCTTTTTAAAACTGTAAGCCATAGAATTTACTATTTACACCTACTTTAGACATTTATTCTGCTTACAATATCACAGGCATGGAATGAATTCTGAGAGTGCTAATACATAAAGGTGCGGGGCAAAGGAGGAAAATACTTAGTGTTACAAAATATGGATCATAGAAAAAAAACACCCCACTTCGTAAGTGTGGCATTTGTTTAGAATGTTTGGACATGCTTTCTTCAAAATTCTGGAAAAGGTTCTAAAATCTGTAGTAGGAAAGGACAAATGAGCAGGTGCAAATTCTTGTCTGTGCAACAACAGTTATTTAATATACCCATGATGACCAGCTACGGAAAACCCACAGAGTTTTGTTAAAGTGCCATGGGCCGACAGCATAACAAAATATAAGGTGTAAATAGAAAATTTTCTTTTTTCCTTTTTCAAAACAAGAGTTCACTGAGAATCAGCAATAATAGAATATGCTGTATAAACTATTTTCTACAAAGGTTGATCAGCGTTATTTACAATTGGTACATTGATACAAAAGAAGGCATACAAGTTATCCAAGTCGCTTTTTTTATCTTTTTCTTTTTTTTTCTTTTTATGGCTGACAGGTCTATGCTTTGCGTTATGCTTAACAACCAGAGCTTTCACGCCACTATGGCTGGAGACCAGTCATGAGATCCTCAGGCAAAGAGGGGTGTGTGCAGTCAAGGGGCAGGAGAGAGGGCTGAGTGGGGCAGGCAGAACAGAAATACCCAAAGAATAACACCCGAATAACGCTTTATAGGTTGGTCCAGTTGCACGCCATTAAAACAAAACCAAAGAAGACCTTTTGTTTGCATTCCGTTTTTCAAGCTGTGAGTTTTTAATACACCATTAGAAAGAAGACCTGGGGTTGCCTGTGAAGAAAGGAACACCGTGGGTTTTCCCTTTTTGCCCAGTTTTCCAGAAACGTCTTCACCTTGGTCAGAGCCAGTCTTTCACAAAGTAAGCAGCATTCGGTGGGGACCCTCTTTATCCCAGCTTGCAATTCAAGGCGTAGAGAGTTAAACATATAAACCTATTGAATTGCTCCTTTTAGTCCCTGTCGAGACATTATTTCTCGGAAGCAGCCACTTAATCTCTCAACCTTTGTTTCCCTCTTTGAGTATAAGAGTTTATAAATCAGAGGGTTATTTTGTTGTCGAGATTTTTTGTTTGTTTGTTTTTACTCCTGCAAGTTTTACAACTCAAAATAAATTATTAAAAAAAAAGACTTCTAAAACCAAACAAGACAAAAATTGTGCAAAAATAACAAAGATATGTACATACTTTTCAGTCGGAAGAAATGTACAATAAAAACATAATTCAAAGAACATTTTAAAAATATAAACATTGCTTCGAACTTTCCTAAGTTTCATATTGTTTCTGAAACTATTCTGGTCAGTTAGCTCTGTAATATAGTAAAACATAAATTATTACAAAATTAACACTATAAAATTTATTTTAAGAATATCTTCTAAACTTTTTTTTCAAAGGGTCTAACCTTAGTTATAATTTCTTAAACATTTATTAAGTCTTAAAATCTGCCTTAACCTTTTTTTTAAAAGAAAAGTAACAATCTTCCCTTCAATTTGCATTCTCTTGCTTCCCAAGATGTAAATAAACCAGCATATAAGTGCACTTTTAACACTGTAGAAATAAAAATGAAATCATCTTAACTAATGTCCTGGTACCTATTATCAACTTCTGATTTTTTAAAAAAATCTTCATTTTATATTAAAAATTTTTGTAATCTTGTAAGAAACACTGTCAGTGCAATTCCATTGATGCAAATCACTCCATTTGCTCCCATCTTTGTAAAATCCAATCGTGAGGGAAAACATAACAGTAGTTTGATCTTTGGGTTGGAGGGATAGGTGGGGGGAAAATGGGGAAACTTTGGGGGCAAGGATGAGGATTTGTGCCCAGTTGTAAAACTGGCATTCCCCTCTCATAAAGGGATGAAGCAAACTCTCCAGATCTCTCTGCCAAGGTCTCATATGCAGAATGACATGATGAACAGCCCTGAACCTCTGCTTGATACTGATTTCCTTTCTCCACTAGGATTTCTTCTAAGAGCTTAGAGTATTGCTGTTTCTCTCAAAACTCCAGTGTGAGCAGGAGAGCTGTGGGGCTTCAGCTACTCTCTTCGAAAGGACTCTCTTCTGCTAAAGTGTCCTTACTATTTCTGTTGGTCTCTGGGGTTGGGATATCTGTGGTGTGTGTGTATGTCGGGGGTTCCCCTGATCTATGGGTGTGCGGTGTTAGTACTCATTATACCCAGGGATGACACTTTCTCTTGGAGACTCTTCCTTTCTCCTTCCCTGTTTCTCTCCCTTCTCACCTGCCCTTGTGGGCAACTTGAGAACTTCTGGGATGGCGGCTGCCTAACTCCTCCTGAAGGGCCTCCTGCACCTTCCCTCTGGGTTGCCTCTTTCTGTGGCTCACTTGGCTTTGGTCCCTTGCACACTGTGCCTTGGAAGAGACTGTCCAGTATGGAATCCTCAAGAGCAGATGACCAGAGGGCCCCCAGGTTCTACCTTTTCCTGAGGGACATCTTGTCCCAACCCCTTGCCCCCTGCCACCTTCTCTGCTTCCTGCTACCTTGTCATCTTGTTTCAGCTCCTGTCCCTGACTCAGTCTATCCTTTGGGAGATGGAGGGCAAGACAGAAGTATGGGGCACACCACATCAGGATATGGCACTGTTCTCAATTCTGCATGAGGCAGTGGGCTCAGAGTGAGTGCTGGGCCCAGGGGACCGATGGGTGTGCAGGGACAGCCCATCTGATTCTCTGCTCTGGCCTCCACGAGCCTCCTCCCCAGCCATGTGCCCTCCCTCCCTCCCTCCCACCCACGCGGGCTGTCCAGCTCTTTCTGATGGTCAGTGGGTACAGGCGGAAGCAGGCGAGAGGGATGGGTGGGGAGGCTGCCCGTCCCAGGCTGATGTTTCAGACGCTGACCTGGAACGGACACTCTGCCACGTCTGCTCTTGTGGCTGAAGAGAATGACGGAGCTGCAGCAGCATCACACAGAAGCTAGAGGAGTGACCCCCAAACTTGGAAGAACGCTTACACATGGCAAATAAAGGCGACAGAAACATAAACACTGGCATCATTTTCTGTAAATTTCCAACTCACATTCTTTTGCCTTTTTCTTCAAAACTAAGAATTGGTCAAATCAGAATTAAAAAAAAAAAAGAAGGAAAAAGACCAGAGCCATAGACAGGGCACCAGAAATAGCCTCTCCCCTGCTGCCCACCCCTCCCCTGCTCCTCTGCCGGCCACGGGCACCAGGAATCAGTTTGGAAGTGGCTCTGGAGTCTGATTACTATGGTAGAGTCCTTATCCTGCCCGTTCTGTTTGTAGTCTTCTAGGAAAGAAGAGAAAAAAAAAAGCTTGTTTCAAATCCATCCCCTGGGAATTATGCACAAGGATTCGGGAGACTTTTCTCCGCTCTTCAGACATACATTTTTTTTTAAAATCACATTGGACTTTATCCTATGTTTTACAAGGAGAAAGTTTTTGGCAACCTTGCATTGAACAATCTACCAGAGTCACTTTTGTAATAGCTTAATTGATGGTCAACACTTTTTTTTTAAAAAGCAATATTTTTAAAGTAAGCTACTGTCTTCTTAGACAAAATGTTTGTGCAAACTTAATAGCTTATAGTGTGAATATAACTTTTATATGCCTGGGGAAACCCGAACATGGGTGACAGCACAGAGATGTGAACTGACTTGCCCCAGGGCACACTGTGAATAACCAAAAGGCGTATACATTTCTTTGATTTTTTTTTTGGGGGGGGTCACATCCGGCAATGCACAGGAGTTACTCCTGGCTCTGCACTCAGGAATTACTCCTGGCGGTGCTCAGGGGACCATATGGGATGCTGGAAATCGAACCCGGGCCGGCCACGTGCAAGGCAAATGCCCACTCCAGCCCCCAGGTGTATACATTTCAAAGCCAGGTAACCATGCTTTCTGGTGCTTTGGTGTTAGGATCCAACCTGGCAGTGCTCAGGGCTAATTCCTGGCCTTGTGCTCAAGGTAATTCCTGGCAGGGCTCAGGGGACATGCCCTGCCGAGGACCCTACATACTTTGGCTCCTTCCTTCACTTACCGGTCTGCTGTGTCCTGGGCTGGATATGCTCGAAGGACTGGATTGTGACAAAGCTAGGCTGCTATTTTTCCCAACCTGAAAGACACCAGGGGCATCCTGCTCAGACACAAGGTGGCCTGGGGGAGATCCACCGAGACTGTGGGTTGCTTGGGGACAGCTGACGGGCAGCCTGGTCTTATACAATGGCCTCACAGCCATTGGCCACCCAGGCTTCTGTCATCAAAGGTACAGAAAGAGGATGGGAGTGCTTGCTGGGCTGGGACGAGGGAAGTGGAATGGACGGGAATGCTTCTGCTCACTTCCCACGGGCCAGACTGCAGGTCTCAGCCATCCTGGGTGCTGCAGGGGTCTGGTGTGGCTCCTCTCTCCTCTGTGGCTGTGGCAAAAGCAGGGTTGGGCAATTTCCCAGAGTCGGGTCCTGCCCCTGGCGTTGTCTCTACAGAAACAGCGGTGTGAGGACATCTGCCTTATTCTCATCCGCCCAGTCTTCCATTTTGTTCCACCTCTCGGCAAATGTTGGCCGTTCATCTCCCAAAGAAACAGCTTCCAAAATTGTTAATTTTTTTGAGGGGGAAAGGGAAGGTTTGGGCTGCCCCCAGCTATGCTCAGGGGCTCTGCACTCAGAGATCTCTTCTGGAGGTGTTTGAGGGAGCATATGGAGTTCCAGGTTTTGAACTAGGGTTGGCCACCTCAAGGCAAGTGTACCTGCTGTACCAACTCTCTGACCTCAGATCTTTAAAACATTTCCAGAGCCCATGTTTCCCTTAAGTTTTGCAACCTCAGGTTATGCCTTTTCTCTCCCAACCTAATAGAAACAAGACAGATGGCAAAGATTTTCGCTGGTACATGGGAATCTCAGGGTGTGACCTTTCCTTAACAGCCTGGTCACAAGCCACCCATCATCTGCTTTTGAGAACCGAGAACCGGTGCTTACCAAACTGTCTGCTGCCCTTAAGTTCATCTTAACTTTTACTAGGTTTTTAACTAGGTTTTTTTTTTTTGTGTGTGTGTGTGTGTGTGGCAGGGGGCATACGCAGCAGTGCTGGATGAAGAGTGGGCTACTCGTGGCTCTGTGCTCAAGAGTTTGTCTCAGCAGTGCTTGAGGGGCCATGTAGTACAAGGGATCTTACTCAGGTATTCCCATGTCTGCACTCAGCCCATTGGGCTATCTCTCTGGCCCCTACTGTTTCGTGTGCTTCTGCAGACTCAAGAATCCATAAAGTACCGTCCAATTGACTCAGAGGTGATCCATTCACTACAGCCACTACTGAGATGAAAAATGAAAAGTGTGGACTACAGGGCCAAACTGCCTGACTTGGAACTGGAGCAATGGTACAGTGAGTAGGGCATTTGTCTGGTACACGGCAGACCCAGGTTTGATCCCTAACATGCATTATGGTTCCTCAAGCAGAGACAGGAGTGATTCCTGAGTACAGAGACAGAAATAAGCCTTGAGCACAGCTGGGTGTGGCCCAAGAGCCAAAACCCCCCAAAAAACAAACCAAAATAAACAGAACCAAAAAAAGGTAAAGGTAAAGGTAAAGGCCCTCCCGTTGATCGTCGATTTGCTCGAGCGGGCCCAGTAACGTCTCCATTGGAGACTTTGTTGTTACTGTGTCTGGCATATCGAATACTCTCGGTAGCTTGCCAGGCTCTCCGAGAGGGGCGGAGGAATCGAACTCGGGTCGGCCATGTTGGCCGCTTGTAAGGCGAACGCCCTACCGCTGTGCTATCGCTCCAGCCCTCGAGCATAACCAAAAAACAAAAAGAAACAACAAAAAAAACCCCACCCACGCAAAATACCAAAACCCCAAAAATACAACAAACAAACAAACAAAAATCTGCCTGGCTTTAAATTCTAGTCCTACTACTGACCTGCTGTGTGAATTTAGGCACCTCGCTTAACCTTTCTGTGCTTTGGATCTCTCATCTGTCAAACATAACAAATTGATGATAAGTTAATATATCTGAAGTTCCCGGAGCAGAGCCTTTCCCGTAAGTGTCAGTTGCTAGAACTTGATTTAGAGTGAGAGACAGGATGGCCCGGAGCTCCAGGAGGGACCAGTAAATGCGGGCAGCCTTTTCTGGGAGTCCCTGAGAAATGTGGACTCCCAGGCCCCATCCCATATTGGCTGGTGCAGAACCTGCATTATATATGCTGCCAGGAAATCAAACCCAAGCGGGCTCATGCAAGGAAGGCACGTGACCTCCTGCACTGTCTCTCGGGCCCCAGAACCTGTACTTTAACAAGACCCAGAGGTGATTTGGGGCCATAATCAAGTTGAAGACACCCAGCTCAGCACCCCAGCCTGAAACCAGGGGGTGGGTGGCCCAGCAGTTTAGTGTCAGGGAATGCTGCTCCCTTCCCCACACCCCTGGAGTAGGGGGAATCACAAGGTTGCACATTGGTAGCAAATGCTTATGGATCTGTGAGACCCAACCCTGGACCTGGGACCTGGGCTCCCTCCTACCCCCTCACCTCGGCCTTGGTGTGCAGCTTGTCCGGCCCTACATGTAAACTTGCTGTTTCTCATGTGTTTACTTGATTGAGTCCTTTCATTTTTTTTTGGCCACAGCTGGTGTTGCTCAGGCATTACTCCTGGCGGTGCTCAGGGCACCATATGGGATTGAACCTGAGTATGCCACACTGTCCTAATGCTTTGCCCCCTCAAGTTTATTTGTAATTAGTGAAACCCCTATAATAGTCTCTTCTGACAGTTTAACATATAAAGATGACACAAAGCAGGAAAACATCTTTTTTTAACAACAGTTCCTTAGCTCTCTAAAACTCTCATTCCCAGAGGTGGCAGGGCATGGGGGATGTGTCTGTGGCATCCTCCAGTTCGCTGCCAAAAGGCTGTGTGTGTGTGTATAGAGGTCTGCAGAAGCTAGCAACCCCAGCCTCAGTGGACTGAGTTCAGAGATCCCTCCACAGACCACCCCTCCTCACCTCCCATTAGGCACCAGAACCCACAGGAATGCGGGCTGGGGGTCCCTGGGTAGCTTTCCCAAGTGAAAGAAGATGAGAAGATAGTGCCACGGCAGTGCAACATTCTTGCCTGGCACCTCCAGTCTTCGAGGGCAGCAAACCCTTTGGACAGCACTACTTTAGGTAGGAGAGTCCTTCTGTCAGGAAGTAGGGGTTAGGCTGTGAGATATGACCCCCAGGAGTCCACACCCTGGTCATTAGTTAGCCTGCCTCAGTCCCTGGGCTAAAGGGAACACTGACCCCATCCTTCTCAGGAAAACTCTCAGAGCCCCAAGGGAGAAGATGGGAGTGGTGGTGATGGTGATGGACTGGGAACTCAGCATCACTCTGCCTCAGTTTGCTCATCGGTAAAGTGGGGGCAGCAGCTGGCCCTTAGTGGGGGCGACAGCTGGGTCCATAGTCCTGGGTGCAGAGACATGGGCGTGGTGCTTGTATGGCCTGTGTGAGCCGCCTGGATGGGGTCGGGGTGGGGGTGGGGCACCCAGCTCCCCACGCCCCCCGGTGCCAGCAGCCCCCTTGCAAGGATCGCCCCTTACCTGCCGAGCGGAGATGCTGTTGGCGGGGTCAGGCACGGCTGCGAGGAGGCCGGGCGGGTTCTTTTTGTGAACACTATTCATACCAGGCATTTTAGTGATTTTACAGGCTTTGCTACTAGAACTCGAGTTCTTACGCTTTTTTCCTTCTGATTTGTCAAAAGAGTGGGGCAGAGAAGCCACAGCATTGTGGGCGGCCAGGGAGAGGTCCCCCGCCAGGGAGGGCACCGAGAGGGGACAGGGGCCGCTGCCACCCGCCGAGCCCACGTGTCTCACAAGGTCCACGGGGCCACCGGGCAGCGAGGTCCGTCCTGGGGGCTCCAGTTTGGCACTGAGTGGGCTCACCCCGTTGTTGGCGCTGTGTGCAGACAGGCTGTTAAAGGGAGGGCCCGCCTGACAGGAGTTCAACGCGGAACTGGCATTCAAGACACAGTTCTTTTTGTGGGGCCCTGACAATGGAGACGAGAGGGGTGTCGGCAAGGATAATGAGGAGGAGGAGGTGGAGGAGAAGGAAGTCGAAGGCTGCGACTTCCTCTTTTTGTTACTTGGAGACTCGTCGCTACGGGCGGACAGGTCTTTGCCTTTTGAGGATTTGCTGGTTTTGGTTTTGGATGGCTTGTGGGAGGAGGGGGGAGGGATGACGGCTGGTATCGGGGACACGGCAGAGGGGGCCTTGAAGGTTGAGTCCATGATGCTGAGGGTGGCAGCCACATGAGGGAAAGCTGAGGTGTGGGACATGAGGGCGCTCGGATCCGGCGATGCCACGAAAGCTGCGTTTGAGAGCATGGCTGATGTCATGATGTAGGAAGAGGTGAGCCTCGAGCTGATGGGAGCTGAAGGAAGGTACACAGCACTGGGGTTGCTGAAAGGCTGAAAAACGGATGCCGGAACGGGGGTGGTGATGCGGGCTGCTGGCGAGGGCATGGGGCTATCTGCCGCAGGAGGGATCTTCCTAAACGTGAGAGAAGAGTGAAAGAGAAACAGTGAGAAACGGGGCTGCCAGGGCTCTAGGGGGCGGGGGGGGGGGCGGGGGTGCTGGATGAAGGGGGCGCACTGGGGCTACGGAGGAAAGCCCAGTCGCACCAGACTATGGAGATGAAGCCTCGAAGCATGGTGGATCACGATCATGGCCCTGCCCTGCGGCTTCCCTCCCCGCCCCGGGGGCAACACCCAACCACCTAAGTCTTTTTAAATCACTTTTGAAAAAAGTGGGGTTCAGGTTCCTTCCTTCCCCTGGGCTATTATGGCTAATTTGAGCTCATGAATAAAAGGCACGTGTTGTTTAGCATATGGAGTTCCCCAGTAGCATTTCATTCTTTTGATTTGCATTTCTTTTTTCTTTTTTGGGTCACACCTGGCAATGCTCAGGGGTTACTCCTGGCTCTGCACTCAGGAATTACTCCTGGCAGTGCTCACGGAAACATATGGGATGCTGGAAATCGAACCTGGGTGGGCCACGTGCAAGGCAAACACCCTACCCGCTGTGCTATTGCTCCAGCCCCCATTGATTTGCATTTTTGGGGGGAGAGAAAGTGGTGCTGGTGGTGGTGGTAGTGATGGCTTTGGTCTTTGGTTTTTGGAGTCACACCGGGCTGTGATCGGGGATCACTCCTGGCAGGGTTCAGGGGATCATATATAGTGCTGAGGATCAAACCCGGGTTAACCACATATAGGACCAATGTTCTACTCTCTATTCTACCTCGCTGGCTCCTTAAGTTTTTCTTTTTTCTTTTTTTTTATGGGGGGGCAGTGAGAGTTCAGTCTTTGGGACACAACCTCCCTGTACTCAGGGCTTACTCTTGGCTCTGTGCACAGGGAACACTCCTGGAAGGGCCCAGGGGGCCATCTGGGGATTTTTACTGGGGTTCACTATTTCCAAGGTCATCTTCTCTGTCCTATTTCTCCATGCCCTGAAATGGTTTTTAATGAGAAGAGATCATCTGGTGTTTGGGTGTGGCTGGAAGTGAGAGGTCTGGGGAGGGGGCTCTGTCACATGCACACCACATGGGTCAGAGCAACACCTATATGCCCTGCAGACTCTGCCTGGAGCCTTGTGGGGCTTCCCAGCCACCCTTGCTCTGCTAGGGCAGCTGGGCAACACGGCTCTCCTCCAGCCCTGGACTGCCCCCAGCCTGGCCCTCCCGGCTGCAATATTTTCCAGGGCAGTGATTGGCTGCTGGAGTCCTTAGTTCTGAAGTCTGCAGGGCATGGAAGGGCTGGGATCTAGGAAACAATGCCCAGATCCTTGCTTCAGCCCTTTACCTTATCTTGCTACAGCTTTCGGGATTTTTTTTTTCAAGGGGTAGGGTGGTGGGGGAGGTTGGCACAACTGGAGGTGCTCAGGGCTCACTCCTGGTTCTGCACTCTGGGGACCATATAGGGTTCCGGGTGGCAAACCCAGGTTAGCCACATGCAAGATCTAGTCACTGTGCCATCTTTTTGGCCCCAGCACACAGAGGCGCTTTACCTGGGCTGTGGCATCCTCTGATCAGGCCTCTCTGAGCCTGCTTTGGAATTGGGAGAGATCACAAAGAGTCTCTGGTGTCCACAGGAGGGCGTCAGAGACTTTGGGGCACAGAAGAACATTTGGATGGGGAGGCCAAGAGACACCTGGGGAGCTGAGGCGACCTGGGAGCATCCCCTGTTTCCCAGAGTCTGGAGCCCAGGCCAGCAAACAGGTGCCCTCTGCAAAGTCATCTTTGGGACTGAAAACAGCACCTGCTTCCCAAATACAGATGCCCCAAATCGCTGCTCCGATGATCCAGAGGGGCAGTGGGCTCTCGAGCTTTTACTTGACTTTTCAGGAAAGGAGACTGACTTTTGGTTATTGAATAGTGACTAATTTGAGCTCATGATTAGAAACTATGTGTTGCTTTGTGGATTTCCCCAATTCATGTGATTCCAAATGCATATTTATATACTGGCTCTCTTACTTCTCACCTTGCTCCCCTCTCTGTTTCCCCTGAATTCATTTTCAATGTAGCTGGGGTTCCCCAGTCATTTCTTGGTAACTCTGCTTTTTGTTCGGGAGGAGGAGAAGCAGTGTTGGGGATGGAACCCAGCGCTTCACAAAACCCAGAACATGTGCTGAAGGCTGAGCTCACCCTGGGCTGCAGCATTCCTTCTCTGAAGCAGCTGTTTCTTTCTTTTTTTTGGGTGGGGGAAGTGCAGGGGGGTTTTGGGGGTGGTCAGGCACACCCAGCGGTACTCAGGGCTTACTCCTGGCTCTGTGCTCAAGGAACCACATGCTCAGTTGACCAACATGTGCATTCAGGGTTGGCCACATGCAAGGCAAGTGTCTTAACCACTGCACTATCTCTCCAGTGACAGCAGCTCTTGAAAGTGGCAGGACCTGCAAGCCCAGAGGCTTGGAGCAAGGTGTGAGATCCGGCCCGATTTCCCTCTGCTTGTCTTTTCTCTTTTTTTTTTTAAGTCACATCTGGCGATGCTCAGGGGTTACTCCTGGTTCTGCACTCAGGAATTACTCCTGGCAGTGCTCAGGGGACCATATGGGATGCCAGGGATCAAACAAACTCGGGTCGGCCGTGTGCAAGGTCAGTGCCCTACCCACTGTACTATCACTCAGGCCCCTTTTTTGTTTTTGTTTGTTTTCCCTTTTCCCCCCTGGAGGCTACCCCTCACCCTGTTGAGGCACTGGGACAAGGCTGGGAGTTCTGGGAAAAGACCCCAGTGAGAAGGATAGTGTCTCCCCCGGGCTGCAGGTGGGAGTTTTCTGCTGTGTCTAAGGCGAGCCTCTGGACCCCACTCCCGGCTAGAGCTCAGATGCACTGTGCCCTTGAAAATATCCATCCAAGGAGGGGTACAACTATAAGAGAAAAAGACTGTCAGCACTTTCCTTTTTTTTTTTTTTTGGTCGGGGTGAGCCTTGATGGTGGTTGGAAATCTACATTCTCTCAAGAATCTTGAAAAACGGAACAAATCCCTAGTCAGTACGGAACAAGTGCTCCCTTAGCACCTGTTGCGATGAGCGATGAGTGAATGAATAGATGGATGAGGAAGGCGGATGGTGAGCAGGTGGATTCTCGGCAGCCACATAACCGCACCGTCGGGGACGACACATGCTGTGCAGGGGCTCCCATCTCAGCTGGGGAAGGTCTAGACATACCCTGAGAATTGCCTGCCACTGGCCCAGCCCTTCCTGGCAGTGTTAGGGCCCCCCTCTTAGTGTTAGGACCCCTGCATCTGTCCCTGCTGCCTGCCACCAGGGCTGAGGGACCACAGTGGGCTCTGCTTTTTTTTTTCCTTTTTGGGTCACACCTGGCAATGCTCAGGGGTTACTCCTGGCTCTGCACTCAGGAATTACTCCCGGTGGTGCTCGGGCGACCATATGGGGTGCCAGGGATAGAACCTGGGTTCCTGGCTTGGCTGTGTGCAAGGCAAACAAACGCCCTCCCTGCTGTACTACCGGTCCAGCCCCTCTCTGCCTTTCCTGGGCTTGGCTCTTCCCAGCTGATGCATGGGCAGAAATACATACAGGCAGGCAGAGAGGTTGGGCCGATGCTTGTCATAAGCAGTGGCTGACAAGCACCGGACAGCTCACTTAGGGGAGAAGCCTGATCCGGGAGCTTCCCCGGGAGCTGCTCAGACTACCCTCCCAGGCAATCTCCCTAGGAGACAGTCTAAGGTCGTGCTGGCAAGTGGGGCTAAGGTCCCCAGTCTTTCCAGGCTGATGCTCAGGGAGGGGTGCTGTCTCTCTGTCCACCTCTCTTCTCCCCCTTTGCTGCAGTTGTCCCACGACCCCACGAGTGGATAAGCAAGGACAGGGAGAGAAGAAGGGCTGGGCATAAGCAGAACAAGGGTGGGGTGGCAGTTCACTGTCCTGGGGAGCCCCTCTCCCCTGGGCTGACTAGTTTGCTTCTCCAGATGCCGATATCAGTAGATGCCTGCTCGCTGGGGCCGGGCCCTGGTTTTAGCTGTGCACCTTGGCTTAAGGGCATCCTCCCACACCCCCCACGAAAGCCCACAGATGCGAATCAATGACGGACAGTGCCCATCCTCCCCGGACAGCCGGCATGGAGATGCGGATGCTGACCTGGCTGCAAGAGAATACTGTGCTGGCGTCTCCTGATGCAGAGTTAAATGCTTGTTAAAGAAAAAAGAGTCTTGGCCGTTCCTTTTCTTCCTAATGTCTTCCACGCCCCCATCGGCGGCCATCCCTCCAGGGTCGGGCCCGTCGGGGGGGCCTGGGGTTTGGGCAGCGAGGCTGAGAGGGCAGCGAGGCGCTACGCTCTCCAGAGTTGACACCCAGGCAGCCCCAATGTTGCTCAGAGACAGAAGGTTGGTTAGGCAAGTCCTGAAAAGGGGGGAGGGGCCTGAGGCCCGGGGACTCGGGTTTCTGTGCCTGAGGAGGAAAGGAATATGGAGCTTGAGCTGACAGCACAGCAGGGAGCGAAACACAGAGCAATACATTCCTTCCACGTGTCCGGGAGTGACACCTCGGAGAACACAGGCGCGAGAGGAGCGAGTGAGCCCTTCCGGGGCGGGCTGTCATCTTGGGGGAGAGGGGGGACAAGCGCAGAAGGGTGAATCACCCAGGAATCCAAGGCATGGGGCTCCCCACAGGCAGCGCCATCCTGCTGCCTTCGGAAGGGGCAACACTGGCAGCCGTCAAGGTGCCTTTAGGGGACGTCGGGCAGTTGCATAAATGGGAAGAGATAATAAACTTCTCTTATGGCCCTTGCCTATATTGGGGTGTCAATAGCAAATCCTAATGCAGACATGGTAGGGCTTCCTCTCTAGGTGTCAATCTGCCCCCCACCATCCCGCCAAAACAAGAAAAAAAATGCAGGTCCTCAAAGTTTTTCTGTGATTCATAGTGAAAACGGACAGTGTGCCACGGCTGCCGGACAGAGAGGAGAAACTGGGCAGAGGGTTAAGTGGCAGCCTCTATGCCCAGACGCATCCCATTTCTTAGAAAGGCCTTTCTTGCCTTCCCTGGGCTTCAGTGGGGTAGGGCAAGGGTTTCCTGTCATCTAGACTGAGACCTGAGGAAGCCAGGGTGCTAAGGGACTTAGACGTCACCCAAACTCCCCTCTGTAGGAATGAGGGGCGGGGAAAACATTTGCTTCAAGCCTTAGGCTTCTCCAGTGAACTGTGAGGGGCTGGAGAAGAAAGGGCCCTTGGAGAAGGGAACAAAGCACAGGCTTAGGTGGACAGAAGCGTGAGGAGAGGTAAGGAGAGAGTTCTAGGCAGGTGTGAAGGGCCAAAGACAAGCTTAACCAGCTCCATTGCATTCCTCAGCATCTGCCCTCTTGGATGCTGTACATACTTTTTTCACAGGACCTTAAGCGGTTAGAAATTGACCCACAACTAGTATTAGTGCAGACCACATAGCATTAACTGTACAAACAGAAGCATTATTTGTAACATCCTCCAAAGGCCTTAGCTATAGCCCAAAGGTCCTCTAACACTGTTCAATAAACAGCCTCTCATCTAAGGTCCTTTTCGTTTACTTTAGAAGATCACTGACACAAAGCAACTCCAGAGAAGTCACAGCAAGATTAATAAACCATGTGTCTCTGAAAATCGGTCAGCAAACTATTAAGAACCCGTGTTTAAGAATTATGAATTGTTATCATAGAGCATTTTTTTCTATAAGAAGCCAATATTCATTTAGAAAGTTGGAGTTTAGGTTCTTGGTGTGTGCGTGGGGGGTACAGCTCTGCTCTGATATTGCCAAAAACTGCTCACTTACTTCCACATCTGTGAATTCAAGTGTTTTTCTACCATGGAGTTTAGTGCGAGTCGAAAACGATCCCATCTTCTATCAAACACATAGTACCCACGTCCCATGAGGCGACTTCCAAATGAGCAAAACTGTGAGGAAAAAAACATTTAAATTTTGATTACAGGTTAATAAGCTAATATAAACCATAGAGAGAAAAATAACATTTGCATAAATATACACAGGGGCACAATTTTACACAGAGAAGCAACACAGCACCGGAGCCAAAAATATTCCTGTGCTGTTTCAGTTCGAGCTCTGTATTTTCCGTAGATGTTCACGTTATGACTCTACAACAGCGACATTCGGTTATCTGTGGCACCAAGGGCTACTTTCTCTCCACCTGGGATTGAGCTAGTAATTAAGTTTAAAACAACAGCAACAAAAATAAAACAAATAGCAACAAAAAAACCCCCAAGGCCTGTGAGGTGGCTGGACCCTACAAGTCAGACCTTGCATGCAGGAGGTCTTACACCCACCACAAATGGAAAAAAAAAAAACCTACCAAAAAACCAATAGCCGCCAGTGATTTTTTCAGCTCTACTTGCTTAGACACACACACACACACACACACACACACACCACGCATGCACACACGCACACACAATGTGTGCAAAAAACCAACAGCCGCCACAGTGATTTTTCCAGCTCCACTTGCTTAGACACACACACACACACATACACACAACATGCATGCACACACACACACACGTGCCCACACCAGCATCCAGGAGAATTTTTCAGCTCCACCTGCTTATTAGCCTCTTATCTCTTTTCTGAAAAAACTCAATGTCTCCCTGCCTCTCTTCACAGAGACAGCAACTGCCTGTTCTGATGTTCCAGGTCTTTTCCCAACGGGTCACTCATTTCCTCTCCATTGTCCACAGAGTCACTTCACTTCTGACTCGCCTAAACTCCTTCCTTTCCCAGTCTTGACAGGGTCCCCGTCTCCCATCGAGACTCACAGGCTACGGGGACCATATTGCACTTTCATGTTTAGGTGTATGCTGTTCCCTCTATTCTCGATCACTCTCCCCTCCCATAGTGGCCCCGTCAAGACTCACTTCCAGGGGCCTTTGTCTCCATGGCACCCTTAAGGCATCCCTGGTTCCTTCTCACCTTGAAGTCTCGACCCGGCTGCAAGCTGCTGAACACAATACCTACATGCCGGAGTCTGTGAGCATCATCTAAAAGGCTGCACTTCTATATTCTCCTTCCTTCTCAGTGGGAGGGCAGTTGAGAGCTGGACTAAATAATGGACTAGAGACAGCTAAGTTCCTACAAATGTTGAAAGCAAACCATCCCATTTCACACACATGACTGAAAGATGAGTGGTGAGATATTTGATTATGATGTCAGGACAACCAGAAGGCCAGTCGACAGAACTGGAAGAAGTGGCCTCTGAGAAGGTGACATTTGGCTGGCCTACAGCTCAGGCAAGTCTGCAAATGGCTCTATAACTCAAGCACAGCAGCCCCTTCCCTTGGCTCCCAGCAGCTCCCTGGCCTCCATCCCAGACACAGTGCTGTATTGGCTCTCAAACCTTCCTGGAACCAGCCCTTGGAACAGTTCTCAGGAGGAAATGCAAGCTCGTCCCTTTGTTTTGTTACTGCTTGTATGCCTCTGTGTGTGTGTGTGTGTGTGTGTGTGTGTGTGTGTGTGTGTGTTTGTTTTGGGGTGGAGGTTGCATTAAAAGGCCGCCACCCATCATCCAATCTGACGACTCTTGCCCCTTAAGTGCTGACTGACCAAGGATGCCAACATGCAGAGGGCCCTCTCTAGCACAGACGTGGTCCCCAGCAGCATTGGGCGTGGCTCCAGCCTGAACATCTTTCCTTCCTCTATTGCAGTGGTTCAGCACACACTAACAAAAGTTTATTAAAAAATGACTGAATCCATTCACTGACCCTGAGAGAAAGGACAAGACAAATGAATAAGCCAGAAAGCCTTTTTGCTTCAGTCAGTGAACCATGAAGGGTAACCCACGCAGACCCGCCTAGACAAACTCACTGTCACCTGGCAGCGTGTCATCTGGGCAAGTGTCTGCTTGGGTTCGAGCCTGGCCTGCACTTGACGAGGCCTGTCTCTCATGCAGACTTGGAAGCTGCAAGCCTTTTTTTTTTTTGTCTTTGCAAATGATGCAGCTAAGTCAATGAAGACATGGGTTTAGTGGAGGAAAGGCTCCTGCTTCTAACTGCGCAGACACCTTGTGCAGAGCTGTAGAAGCTGGCTGGGTGAGCCCTGAGGCAGGTGGAGCTGAAAAATCTTCCTGTTGGTGTTGGCATGTGTATGCGTGCGTGTGTATGCCTGTACATATGTGCACATGTGTGTGTGTGCGTGTGTGTTGTGTTTGTGTGTGTGTGTGTCTAAGCAAGTAGAGCTGGAAAAATCATTGTAGTGGCTGTTGGTATTTTGGTAGTTTTTAGTTTTTCTTTTTTCCATTTGTGGTGGATGTGTGAACCTCTGCATGCAAGGCCTGACTTGTAGGGCCCAGCCACTTCACAGGCCTTGGGGTTTTTTTGTTGCTATTTATTTTTGGTTGCTGTTGTTTTAAACTTACTGCATCCGTCAGTAACCATCCCACTCCTTTTGGCGAGAAGAACCAGAAGAACCATGATTGTGTAGGCGGGCATGAAGCACTGAGTGGGATAGTCCGTGGGTCTCTGCCCAGAACCTTGGGGCAAATCAGGGCTGGTTTCATCATGCGTCACTCCCCTGCTACCCACTGGTCTATAGGTAGACATGGGACATGAGGTTAAGTGTGCTAGGGTCTTCTGCAGAGAGATTATCTTCCTTAAGACAGGAAATAAGAGAGCAGCTTCAAGGAGAAAATCCCTGACTGCAGACCCCCACCTCTCCTGTTTACTACAGGGCTATGGGTGGGGCGAGGCACTGGACTCAGGCCTGACACGGTGAGACTTGAGTGAAAGGTCAAGTAGGTTACAAAGGGTCTCCAGAACATCTTAAAGTCAGGGAGGAGCTGAGCCACGTCCACACCCACCTACCTCCTGACCCCTCTTGTGTGAAGACTAAGAGATCATTGTGGGTCTTCTATGTAAGCGGAGTCCTCCAGTACTGTCAATGAGAGACAGGTCTTGTCTTCCCTGACTATTCAGGGACCGATCAAGTAGGCAAAGTTCCAGGTGGCCTCAGGAATAGGCAGTAGCTTGGTATTTGCTCTTCACCCAGATACAGGGAGGAGGGAGTCTCACCCTGTTGTGATGCAAGATCACCTTCACAGATCATGGGATGGAGACAGTCACAGTAGACTTGCGACTCAATCCCAGGGCTCAGGCTGGCTGGCAGCAGAGCAGAGAAGGAGAGGTTGGGGGTGGTTTGTGTGTTCCCTGAATCTGACGACAGCATCTGCCATTTCCTTCTCTTCTCAAATGCTCATCAAGGAAACCCAGACAAGTGTCTAGATCATGGCCCCCCTATCTCCACCTCATTGAAATGGCCTGAAAGGTGAGTATGGACTTTTTTCCAGGAATGGCCTTTTTGTTAATCAGCAATCATGCTGACATAAAATGCTTTCTCTTTTCAGTATGCACGTGTGCGCGCGCGTGCGCGCGCGCACGCACACACACACACACACACACACACGGTCCACACACGCCACCCAGTTCTGGTGCCACTTGGTCACACTTACTCATAACAATACAACCAACAGTGGAGAAGGCAATGAGGGCCGGCACCTGGCACGCTCCGAAGTCAGCCAGCTCCAAAGCAGCAAGCTCCACTCACTCTCTACAGTGGAGGCTGCATTTGGAGATCTGACAGGTAAGGGAGGTGAGTATCCCCCGGTTCTCAAGTATGACCCCTGCAGCATTGACCACAAACACTCAAGTAGCTTCAAGGATGAACACTGGCCAAGAGCCCTTGCCTTGCCTTTGGCGAGCTTCAAAGGCCAGTTCAGGCGCTCATTTACCTTCAGGGCAAAGCCTTGTTGTGGAACAACCAGCCAGGCAGTTTTGCCTTAGGAATGTGAGCTGTCTGCCCGCCTCCACCCCACAGATGCCCGAGGGGAGCCAAAGGCACAGAAGGAAAGGAAGGGGGGGCCTACCGCGAGAGGTTTGGGGTGGTGGGTGGAGAACTGACAGTCTAACTTCTCCGAGTCTTCAGCTGCGTCCATCTCCCCTTCATCACTTGACAGTCGGCTGGCGAGGTCCCCTCCGGCTGGGGGCAGAGGAGGTTCCGGCGTGTAGCCACTGTGATTGGAAGACGTGCTGCTGCTTATGCTATTGGCAGATGACGGTCTGAAGGCAAGTGAGAACCAAGAGAGTAAACTTTTCTGATAACATGACCCACCCAGTTTGGGGGCATGAAGAAGGCAACCGAGTCAGCCTGCCCATAAGTACAGAAGGGCAGGTCAATGGGCCACTGACCCCAGGACGAAGACGGAGAAGGTGAGTATCACCACCAGACCTGGTGGAGCTGAGGCCGCCCAAGCTTCCATTCAAGCTCCAGGGACCCTGGTAACAGCATAAGCAGGTTGTAAGATGCGGTGGGGGAACAGTCAGTTTAACCTGCACTTCAGTTAACAGCTCTAGCCACCTGCATGGGAGGAGCATGCATCAGCCAGAGTTACTTTCATCTGGAAGCGAAAGCTCACAAGAAGATCAATCAAGAAGGTGATAATTCAAACCAATCAATCAATATCAATGGAGCCTGGGAGTGTGGCTCAGCGGGAGTGCACCTGTACTTCATGAAACTGGCACCACCAAGAAACAAAACAAAACAAGAAGAGATACCCCCAAATCCCAGCCCCCTCCACAAAAAGATTAGCAAAGTCTCAGTGATGATAGTCCGATAAGCACTTTTTCTGACATGATGCAATTTTCATAGCGACATGGAAAAATGATCCTGTGCAGGAAGGACGCTAAGTCTCTTATTGCCCTGAGTCATGCCTGGATTTTAACACCAAGCAACATGCAGTTTAACTGTATCTCCTGAAGATGGTTGTATTCATTTCAATCTTTTATTTGTTTTTGGGCCACACTCTGTTGTGTTCAGGGCTTCCTCCTGGCTCTGGGCTCAGGGTACCACATGTGCTAGTGATCAAACCAGGATGCAAGGCAAAGCTGGGTACAAGACAAGCATCTTACCCACTGCACAATCTCTCTGGCCCATTACAATTTTTATAGGGATCCTCATGGTGCGGGGAGGGAGGTACTCAATGGGCCCTGTGCTCTTTCTTCCACTTGAACTTCCACTCTTTGGGCTCCCATTTTTATTTGGGCCACGCCTGGCAGTGCTCCGGAGTAAGTCCTGGCATGGTGCTTAGGAGTGTTCTCCCAGGAATGTCAGGGATCACGCTGCATTCAAAGCATGTGCTCAGTCCTTGAGTTATTGCCCTGACACCTGGCCACTAAATTACTGATAAGTCACTAGACCCAGGGGCTGCACAGCTGGGTCATGGTAGATGCTGAAGAAATATTTTTCTTGGGAATGGGAATAACTCAGTGGTAGAGAGCATGCTTTACATGTATGTGGCTCTGCAACACATCCCCAGCAGCCCCAATTGCTTTTTTTTTCCTTAATGAAGGAATGAATGAATTCCTTGTGTATAAACAGACCATCCATCTTGATTATGGCTAAGCTTGTAGAAAATCAATAGCAATACGAAAGGTAGTGCTACATGCTTCTCAAACAGTAAACACACACACACACACACACACACACACACACACACACACCCCGATGAAAGTAAAAAGAGGAATAGTTAAAGTGAGTCTTTTGTTATTGTAGTTGTTCATTTGTTTCTGTAGTACCAAAGCTTGAAACTGGGGTTTCATAAATGCAAGGCATGTGCTTCACCCCTGAGCCACGTCCCTGGCCCACCAAGTTAGTTGTTTTTACTAAATCTATACTTTCATCAGGTGGTTGGCCAAGAATGAAGATGAGTGAAAAAAGAAGTTTGGGGAGGCGGGAGGACTGAACTTTAAAAGGAAATTGTTTTTCAGCCAGAGAGATAGTATAGAGGGTAGGGTGCTTGCTCTGCACGCGCCTGACCGGGTTTGATCCCCGGCATCCCATACAATACCACAAGCCTGCCAGGGATGAGTCCTGAGTGGAGAGTCAAGAGTAACCCCTGAACACAAATGGATAAGGCCAAAAATTCTAAAAAAAAAAAAAAAAATCAAGGAAGAAAAAAAAATTGCTTTTCTTTATTCTGCTTTGAAAGCTGCCCCTTTGAGCAATGTGAATCCACATAGCTGCTAGGATGTTTCTCCTTTCCACCCTGGAGCCTCTAATTCTTTGAAAACTTTTTTGGTGTCAAATAACTAAGTTCAACCAGATTTCAGCAGTCACTCAAGAACAAAAACCCCAAAGCAGAAACCACCCAAATATCTACCAACTATTGATGAGGCTAACAGGGAGATGAAATATAGCAGATATGGTATATGTTTGCAATGAAAGTGTAGTTAAAGTATTTAAAAGGAATGAAAATCTTGATGCATGCTACACCACAGATGCACCCTGAAGACATTTTGCTAAGTGGAATAAGCCAGACACACAGAGGGTAAGACTGGACAACTTCACTTAAATGAGGTGGGGTACACACCAAGAGTGAAATTCAGAAACAAAAGTAGAAGAATGGGTATGTGGCTACCGAATGTAGCCTGCCCACACGGCAGAGTCTGGCAAACTCCCCGTGGCGTATCCAATATGCCAAATACCAGTAACAATGAAGGGTCTCATTCTCCTAACTCTGAAAGAGCCTTGAATATGGCACTTTTAAAAAAAATCTCAGGGCTAGGATGAAGGAGACGTTACTGGGGCCTGCTCAAGGCAATCGACGAATAACAGGATGGTTGTGATTGTGATTTTGTGTGGGTATGTGGAGCTGGGGGGCAGGTGGGATGGGGAGTTTGTGCTGAGTGGGTCTGGTCTGGGTAGGGATGATGAGGCATAAAGGCAGATGGCAGTAAAGGCTACAAAATAATATGGATGAATTTAAGGCTACTTAGACACAGTTAAAATGGTAACTTATGTCTGGCCTATTTTACCACAATGAAAACACACAAAACAAAAGCAAGGCCACAGTTCTTCAGTGCCATTACGACCACTCTATTGGTGTGACTGTTTTATTTATTATCGTCTGTTTATTTATTATCACCTCCTCTATGTAGAAAAACAAAAATATCATTCATTTGCCATGTTAAAGATCTATAGCACTGTAGCACTGTCCTCCCATTGTTCATCAATTTGCTCCAGCGGGCACCAGTAACGTCTGCACTGTGAGACTTGTTACTGTTTTTGGCATATTGAATGTGCCACGGGGAGCTTGCCAGGCTCTGCTGTGCAGCCGGGATACTCTTGGTAGCTTGCTGGGCTCTCCGAGAGGAACAGAGGAATCAAACTCAGGTCTATAGGCCAGAGAAAATACCTCACAAGCGTGAGCCCGGACACCTCCAGTGTCAGAGGGGCTACTACACTATTGCCCACTTGCCACCAAGACCCACATAATGATGTAAATTAGAGAACACCAAAGTGCATTAAGAAAACAGCATGCACAATCCTGCCGCGCAAAGACAAGTGCTTTTTGCATTCTGGGTTATGTCCGGCCAGGATCATGTGCTATGCAGGCACAGACGTGCATTTTTTTTTTTTAGGGACTGGAGAAGACTCTATCTACTATATGCAGATTTGCATAAAAATCCAGACATCTTACCATGTACAAAAAAGCCCTTTATCATATTTAGTATTCCCCACTGACTTATAGAATATATAATGGACAAGTCTCTGGATGGACATTTAAGTTGTTTTTCCATACTTTAAAGGTTTTCTTATTGGGGGGGGAGGGTATACTTGGTGCTCAAGGCTTACTCCTGGCTCTAAGCTCAGGGATCACTCCTGGCAGGGCTCAGGGGATCATATGGGGTGGCATATCTGGGTTGGCTGTTGCAAGCAAGTGCCTTACTCACAATACTACTGCTTTGGTCTTCACATACTTTTTGAAAGTTCTTTCTGTTTTGGCCCTTTATTATTTTTTTTAATCTTTTTTTTCCCAAATGGGATCACTGTGAATTACGTTACAAAGTTATTCCTAATGAATGTTCTTTTACTTTTAGGGGATACACTTGGTTGGTTCTGGAAAGTGCTGCTCCTGGTTTGGTACTTGCGGATCATCCCCTCCAGTGCTCAGGGACCCATGAGATGCTAGACATCAAATCTGGGAGTCCTAAATGCAAATCATACGCTCTAGCCCCTGAGCTCTCTCTCTGGCCCTCACAGGGTCTTCTGAAGGTTCTCCTAACTACCACAGGACTTCCATATACTCCTGCAGTACATGAAAGTGAGCTGGTTAATTGTGTTCATAGTATTATATGTATAATATACTATCTGTATTACAATGACATTATATAACATAGTCTATAACTATATTATAGTACATAATATAGTATATAACATTGTATATAACATATAATAGCTTAACTTTTTGAAGAGGTCTTTTCAATTTATTACAAACTGATACCTGCAATCTACTTCAAAATATACCACCAGAAAATGCATTGAAGTAAATATTATTGCAAACATTACCACAACTCTTACAATTAGATATGCGGGTTCATTATTTTATTCTCTCTACTATTCTGAACAAGGGAAAATGTTCATGACAAAATGAAAAAAAAAGAGAAAAAGAAAAGAAAGTGAGCTCGTGGCGCAGGTTTATATAAGAAAGTGGCTGAAGAACTTCGCATTACATGAGGCTGATGGATCAAATGCACTTACGTTGTCCTTTCCCTTCCAAAGTCCTAGTAAACTCCTAGAAGTCCTAGAACTCCGTCCCAAAGTTCTCTCAGTCAGGAGAGGAGAGGGATTAGCCCTGAACAAGAGACCAGCAGAGGTGTGGGGTCAGTTTCAAAGATTTCCAAGCCTCCATTTAACCCCTAAATCCATAATGAAAAGCTTATTCAGCTTGCTGATCACTGCTTTGGAAAACGGCAAGAAAAAAATCAAAGAAAGTGTGTGTGTACATGTGTGCGGGCATGCATGCGTGCGTGCATGCTTGCGTGCGTGTGTGTGTGTGTGTGTGTGTGTGTGTGTGGCTTTTGCAAAGGACGAGGTAGTCCCCTCCTTCACAGGGACCATGCTTGGTCTGGCTGTGTCCAGCACTGTGGTTGCAGACCGAGATGAAGCTGAGAGAAACTGGAGAGGGCTCGATCTAAGGGCAGTGCAGAATGGCCCCATCCAAACCTGGGCTGTGCCCATGAGTGCACTGTGATAGTGCAGAGGGATCAGAGAAGTCCTG